ATCTTTTTATATTATAGAAATTAATATTTCATCTATTTTTTGTGATGTCAGTATTTTCTTGTCTTTTTTTTTCTTTTGACTATTTTTGATACATTTAGCCATACAAGAATTTTGAGTACAATATCATCTAATCTGTCAGGGGGTTTTGTTTGTTTGTTTTACTTATTACTTTATGGCTTCTTGGCTTTTTTGCTTCTCTCCACAAAATTATACAAATATTTCCTTCAAAAGCTTTGTCTTTTATATCTTATATTTAAAGTTGTAACTCATCTAGGGTGTGTGCATGTGTGTGTGTGTGTGTGTGTGTGTTGCATGTGATATGAGATGAGGTATACTTTTACATTCTTCTATGAGGTATACTTTTACATTCTTCTAATATAATAGTTACATCAATCAGGATCCTGGGATGAAAAATAACAAACAGACTAAAAGTAGACAATTTCATAAAGGGATAATTTACAAGGGAGAGGGCAAGGTTGAAGAAAACCAACAAATAGTGAAGCATCCTTTTCCTCCTTTGGACTTGGAGAGGTAAGAGGAGGAGAAATGTGTTACCAGGACCTCACAGGAGAAGACCACCTAACTGAATTTATTGCCCCAGGAGAGCAATAAAACAAACTCACAGTCCAGCAGAGAGGTATATGGAGGAATAAACAGGCAACGTCACTCTTCTTTTACTAAGTTCATCACTTTGATGTCTCTCTTTGGCTGAATTGGAAAACAGATAACAAGGGGACTGATTAATGCAGTCCACAGCTTTGGTCTCAACAAATGGTGAGGATTGGAGACAGGATCCAGTGTGGCAGGCATTAGGTACATGCAGGTACTGAGTATCTGAAATGTGGCCAGTCTGAATGGAGATGTTTTGTATGTATGAAATAAGTGCTGGATTTCAAAGAATTTGTAGGAAAAACAAAGAAAATAAATAAGCAATACTCATTTATAATTGTTTATATTCATTGCATTGAAATGGTAATAGATTAAATGAAATATAATAAAATTAATTTCATCTGTCTCTTTTTACTTTTCAATTGTGGCTACTGCTTGAAATTACATATGTGACTTGTAGCACCAACATAGAGGGATAAATGGAAAGCATCTAGTCATTCTTCAATGTTTAAATAATGTCTTTTCCACCAAATATAATTGCCATCTTTTATATATATTAAATTCTTTTATTAAATAAAAATGTTCCCTGAACTTTCTATTTTCTTCTGCTTATCCACTTGCCTATCCTTATTCTAATGACACACCATTAACATGGAAAGAACTTTTTAATGTGGGGTAGATACAAATCCTTTATCACTATTGACCACATTTTTGTTCTTTTCCTTAATTATTTTCATATATTTATTCTTCCATATGAAATTACAGATGGGCCTACATTTTCTTCTCTTTCCAGAAAATGTCAGTTGATGATATGATTCAAAGTATATTTTTAAAAGTATATTTAAATAATCTGATATTAATATAGTTAGTAGGAAATGTCATTTTCATGTTAATTCATACCGTGTAGTGAAATGATCTGTTACTCTACTTACCAAGATCTTATTTTATGCTCTTCTATAACACTTTTTAAATTTCTTTATATTAGGTGCCATATGTATGTATATCTATCTATCTTATTAAATTCATTTTTAGGTATTTATATTTTTGTGGCCATTATTATATACATTTTTCATTTTCATTCTTGACATTATTTTTAATAAAGAAATATTGGGGAATTTATAGATTTATTTTATAACTGACTGTCCAATTAACTTATTAATTCCTATATATTAGATTCACTTGGATTTTTCTAAAACACAGGCATGTAATAATTCTGAGTTAATTACATTTGTTCATTACTTATTAATGTTCATGTTATAAAATATTTTGAATTATATTAATTGAATAAACATCTAAAGTGCTGATTAATAGTGGTGAGATCAACCACACCTGTTTGGATCCAGATTTCAGTGAAACTGGCTTTAGCATTTAGCTTTTTAAGATGATGCTTGCTAGCAGTTTGGGGTAGATAAATAGGATCACATATAGGTAGTTTTCTACTATTTGTATTTTACGTTTATCGAATTTTACTTAGATTGTATTTTTGTTTTCTAAAATTAATATATGTCTCAGCTAATATTTTCTGGTTGTTATTTTTTATTTTAATTTAAATATATTGTTCACAATTTGATAGATTAATTAACACTGAACTTTTTTGCACTCTTAGAATAATCTCAACTTGCTCAGAAGTATCTAATTCTAACATGATTTATTGATATTTTATCTTGGATTTCACAGCTACATTTATAAATGAATTTTGTCTATGGTGTTTGCACTATTTCAGATTTGGATAAGAAAATTTATGCTAACCCATAAAATTGAGTTTGTCTTTGGTATGGACCTATCAGTTATGAATCAGCTTTAAACTAAATTTTTATGTAACTCCTAAGAAACTAAAAAACTCATCTGTGTTTGGCACCTTTTTATTTTTTAAACGGAGTTTTGCTCTTGTCGCCCAAGCTAGAGTGCAGTGGCGCAATCTTGGCTCACTGCAACCTCCCCCACATGGGTTCAAACGATTCTCATGCTCAGCCTCCCCAGTAGCTGGCATTATGGCACCTGCCACCATGCCCAGCTAATTTTTGTATTTTTAGTGAAGACAGGGTTTTGCCATGTTGGCCAAGATGGTCTCGAACTCCTGACCTCAGGTGATCCATCTGCCTTGGCCTTCCAAAGTGCTGGGATTACAGGCTTGAGCCACTGTGCCCAGTCTTGGCACCTTTTAAGTTACATTTATTTAGGCCGGACATGGTGGCCCATGCCTGTAGTCCCAGCACTTTGAGAGGCTGAGGTGGGCAGATCACTCAAAGCCAAGAGTTTGGGACCAGTCTGGCAAACATGATGAAACTCTATCTCTACTAAAATACATAAAGTTAGCTGGGGAGGCTGAGACCTGAGAGTAGCTTGAACATGGCAGTGAGCTGAGATCCTGCCATTGCATTCTGGCCTGGGTAACAGGGCGAGAGCCTGCCTCTAAATAAATAAATAAATAAGTGAAAGTACATTTATTTAAAAATTTCTAAAACTTTCCTATGATTACTTTTCTGCTAGGACTTTATAACTTTCTCAAAGTGTTATTTATATTTTGTTACAAAATTATCTCTTTTTTATAGTTTAAATATATTCTCAAAGAATTCTACACAATGGTCTTTTGTAACTTTCTATACATTTTATAGAAATCAGGTTAATACTTTTGATTCTTAATTTTGGATATATTTATTTTCTTTAATCAAACCAACGAATGTTTTGAAAAATACCTATTTATCGGATTAGATGTAATTTCTCCACTTCCTTATTTCATTGGTTTTGATTTTTGTCTTTATAAAAACATTCCTCTCAATATTTTGGTTCATTTTTAGTTTTACTTTGCTAGGTTCTTGAAAAAAATAATTTATCCACAAGTTTATTTTTTAAATTTAAAAATATTTAGAAGTATAAATATTTCTCTGAGTGTAGCTTTAGCTTAAACTCATATTTTGCCATGATTTGTTACTTTGATTCACATCTAGATAATTTATAATTCTGGATTTAACATTGCTTGAATTAGGAAATATTTATAATATTGTTTCTTCCCTTTTAAGGGGTAAAATTTTGTTCTCTTTTCTTGATATATTTGAGGTTATATGTTTGCTTCTTTGTTGTTATATAATCTGATTTGACTATGATAGAAGAATTTGTCCTATAAAGTACCAAATATTTTTTGGAAGTTTAGATTTTCTTTGTTACTAATTATATTAATGGGTTTTTCAGTAAAAATTTCATCAATTTAAGACAAGAATATGTATACATGTGATGATCTCTGTGAAAATACTTGATCGTATTTCAAATTTTGTTTGACTTTTGACTACTGGAGGTATCAAATTCTGTAAAATACCTTCCTTTATGTATTCCTCTGCTTTGAGGTTTGGTATAAGAAGCTAATGACTAGTATATTACCATAGATTATACGCATTGGAAAAGAAAGCTATTCCTTTATTATTAAATAATGGAGTTAGCATTGAATAAAACATTGTAATTAATAAAGCCAGTTTCTATTTTTGCATTTACATAATGTATTATCATATTTATAGTAAATACAATATATATATTATAAATGAATGTGTGTATAGTATATACATTTCCTTTATTTTAAAAACATGTTTAATTAAAACATAACATTCTTAAGGCATAAAAATAAAATCATAGTTAGCTAACTATTATGAAATGACCATCCTTTTGCTATAACCACCCCCAAAAGAAATGTAATATTTCTGGTGCCAAAAAAACCTCCTGTACTCTATACAACTTTATATACACACATGGCAGACAGACTTTAAGGGGATCCCCACAAAGCCCTACTAATATGGTTTGGCTGTGTCCCCATGAAATCTCAACTTGAATTGTGTCTTCCAGAATTCCCATGTGTTGTGGGAGGAACCCAGGGAGAGGTAATCGAATCATGGGCGCTGGTCTTTCCCGTGCTAGTCTCATTATAAATGAATAAGTCTCACCAGCTCTGATGGGTTTATCAGAGGTTTCTGTTTTTGCTGCTTCTTCCTCATTCTCTGTTGCTGCTGCCATGTAAGGACCTTTTGCCTTCCGCCATGATTCTAAGGCCTCCCCGGCCATGTGGAACTGTAAATTAAATTAAACCTTTTTTCCCCTTCCCAGTCTCAGTTATGTCTTTATTAGCAGTGTGAAAACAGATTAATATACCTACCAATAACTCTGTCTTCTTGTATTCATGCCTTCATATAAACCCATCCTACTATATAAACCCAACCCATATTATATATGACTTTATTTGCTAGCAAATTGGCTCTGCAGACACTTATTGGCTTGAGGAAGTAAATGATGATGTTGAGGAAACCACATGGTCAGGAATTGAGGGAAGGAACTGCAGGACACCTCTAGGACCTGAGAGCAGCTTCAGGTTAACAGTCAGCAATAACTGGGATATTTCATTCCTACAGTGCCAAGGAAATAAATTCTGCCAACCACCTGGGTGCATGCATTTGGAAAGAGATTCTCAGCCAAACCTCCAGATGACAATTCAACTGAGCAAACACGTTGATCGCTGCTTTGTGAGATCCTACACGGACGACCCAGCTAAACCATGCATGACTTCCTACCACACAGAAATCATGGAATAATAAATGTGTTGCTTTAAGCCTCTGAATTTATCATAATTTGTTATGCAGTGATGTATAAGTAATACAACCCTATTATGAATTCTATCACCATAAATTTGCCTGTTTAGAACTTTATATTAATAGGATTATTAAGTGTATGATCACATGTATTTGGCTTCTTTAACTCAACATGAGTGCTCCTGGAGGTTTTTGATGCCTTAATACACATCAAATTTAAACTTCGTCTGTTTTTTTTTATTTTATTTTATTTTTGGAACAGGGTCTCACTCTGTTGCCCAGGCTGAAGTGCAGTGGGCCAATCACAGGTCGCTACAGCCTTGACCTCTTGGCCTCAAGTGATTCTCCCACCTCAGCTTCCCTAGTAGCTAGGACTACAGGCATGGGCCACCGTGCCTGGCTAATTTTTGTACTTTTTGTAGAGATGTGGTATCACCAGGTTTCCCAGGCTAGTTTCAAACTCCTAGGCTCCAAGTGATCTGCTTGTCTGGGCCTTCCAAAGTGCTGGGATTACAGGCATGAGCCACCACACTCGGCCTCTATTTGTTTTTGTGAGTGTTTTGACCTGTGTTTCTGGTACTCCACTAGGCAATTGACAGCCAGTTCTAATTATTTTAGGAGTTCAAAGGTCAAGCTGGAAGATGACAAAAAGTGCAGATGAGAAACATGTAATTAATTGCCATCTTTCCCAATTCTCCTCCATTTCATTTTATTACTAAATTATACTAAATAACAAATTATTCCTTTTATTTCATTTTTTTTTGTTTAAGTTTGAAATTACACAGATAGTCTTATTTTTAATTTAATTCACAATTCTAATATTTTCTCAAGTTATTTTGGGTGAATGCTACATACAAAATCCTGGTAATAAAAGAGTTTTATTTTGCCAGTAGCTAATATGGAGTGTTCTCATAGAGCTATAAATGAGCTCAATATTCATTATGCAAATGAATAGAATCAGACAAAATTAAATGGGTTCAGCTCGGTGGCATCATTTCAGAGATCTAATTTGGGGGTTTCAGTCCTCTAGGCTGAGAGAGCTATGGGAGACACATTAAGTTGCTCTTAATAAATAATAAACCATATCAAGCAGAAATTGCATTTAAAGGGGTATGACCTTAGGTCACAGGCAGAGTTACAGGGAGATGACTGTAGGCACTGATGATAACTTCATCATACACTGCTCCATGCCTGAAGGTGACTTGCTGTGATCAGCCCTTAGTCTTCAGTTTTTAAGGACAAATCATCTATTTTTGTTAGCTTCTTTCTGATCATCTAGGAGGTATATAATCTCATCTATTTAACATTTCAAAAGATGGGCAGAGATAATCAAGAAAATTTACCCAATGTGTTGACCTTGAAACTAAATCTAGCTACTATTCTTGGCTCTGACGCACGTGCGCGCACACACGCACACACGCACACACACACAGACACCCCTGTATATCTTTGGGCAGATTACTTCAACTTCCTGAGTTTTTATTTCTTTGTTGATTAAAACATAATAAGAGGGTGAGAAGGATGAACCAGATAATCTGATTGGGACAACTAAAATGTTAGGCAATCTAATGCACGGTCCTTATTTGCAAAAGGGTGAAACTGATACTAGGTAAGAAAATATAAAAACTAATTAGTGACTAGGTCTCAGTTTTTAAATTAAATTTCTAATTTTTAATTTTTTTACAGTGACACTAATTTCTAAGTACATTTGAGCTACAAAAGGTATATACATGATTTCACATTCTTGTCTAGACAATATGAGAATGTCCACAGAATCTGTAAGATAATTGGCAGCTATATTGGAAAATATAGCTAAAACTGCTGTGGTGAGTAAAATAATTTAATCAATGAATAAGTACTTTTGGATTATAGGTGATATGTAGAGAATTCTATATAATCTGTATTCTTATTCAACAATGTTGAACCATGAAGAGAGACATCAACACCTGCTTGCCCCCAAGGAAAAATGGAAGGATAAATTGTAACAACGTGGCCTATGTTAGAGTCAAGCCTTATTGTGAAACCTAAATATGGTCTAACAAAACCTTTTGCAATGAGGATTGACTCTACCATATTTAGACCATGTTGTTACAATTTATTCTTCCATTTTTTCTTGGGGCAGGGGTTGATGTCTCTTTTCATGGTTCAACATTGTCAAATAAGAATACAGAATACATAGACTAAATTTGGGGTCTAATAAAACAAACTTTTCACAATGAGGATTGACTCCTGGCCAGGTTCAGAAAAAGAAACAAACTTGTAATTTTTACTAACCCTATTTCCCATTTAAGAAACAAATGGGTAAGAATAATAATAAAAGTAGACTTCATTTGATGGTTAAGAAAGTGCTTTATATATGTAATTTGAATATTCACTGATCATCCCATGAGAAGTAGATATTATTGCCACTGCCAGATGTAACAATTCACCTACATTTTTCAGGTGGAAAATTTGACTTGAATTTTGTAGCATAACCAAGAAATAGGGGAGCCCTATAATTGTCTCAGAACATCTAAATAAGCCCAACTCTTCAAAGAGAGCTGTAATTACTTTGATGAAGTTGTCTAAACATCCAGCCATCCTGTCTTTGAAGGATTAGATGCAGAGGAAGCAGTTATTTCTCTAATACTTTCTGCTAATCTCAAAGACATGTTATCAAATGGGAGGGAAAAGGTCATAATTTTTCTTACAAGCTGCTTTTAAAGTCTTATAATAAAATAATTGCAATTTCTAACTAATCACAGATATGTTTAGGTGCTCAGATAATTTTATATGCAGCTCACACTTTCTATCACCAGCCTTATGAGCCTAATTCCCCAAAATCTACCTGGGAAAAAAATTCCCTTTTTCTGCTGGGCATTGACATTCTGAAATAAAACCCACAAAGCCATTGCCGGCTTAAACCAGTGGCAGGTCACTGAGGAAGTTCTGCTTCTGCTAGGTAAGACTCAGTCTCTTCCCCTTAGATCTCACTCATGATATTCTTCTAACAAATAGCCATTTTCTCTATGCTATATCTTGTATAGCATCTTCAACAGTCTTAATGTGTACTTGAATCTGGATGTTACAGTCATAAGACAGCAGTATCGTTTTAATAAGACATTTCCATTCCACCCAAGCCTTAATGACTACTTTCAGGTATCTTTTACGAGAATCCTGGGCAGTTGTTTTCAAGGTCATATCCGAGAAAATAAAGTTACTGTAAGTCAGAGTAGATTTTGAAGGGCTGCTAGGATGGATGTCTTATTTTCTTGGGACGAAGAGCAGAAACTAGTGACTAGTGAAGGCTGCACATTTTCAAGAATTAAAAAAATTCATTTCAAAATAGGAAGAAGAGATAATGCTTCTGGTAATTTTCAGCTTATAGGCAATAGAACAGGCTAATAATATTGTCTAATTAGAGAATTATAAAGAAATTATTGCCATTTATTTTACAGCAAATGATTCTAAAATCTAAAAAGATAAATGATTTTTCAAGTTCATATAGCAAACCTTGAGGATCACTCCTGCTTAAAAAGTTCTTGGGCCAGACACAGTGGCTCATGCCGGTAATCCCAGCACTTTGGGAGGCTGAGACAGGCAGATCATTTGAGGTCAAGAGTTCGAGACCAGCCTGGCCAACATGGTGAAACCTTATCTCTACTAAAAATACAAAAAATTAGCTGGACATGGTGGCATGTGCCTGTAGTCCCAGCTACCCGAGAGGCTGAGACAGGAGAATTGCTTGAACCCAGGAGGCAGAGGTTGTAGTGTGCCGAGATGATGCCACTGCATTCCACACTCCAGCCTGAGCACAGAGAGAGACTCCAGCTCAAAAAAGAAAGAAAGAAAAAAAGTCTTGGAACAGAACAGCCTGGAGCAGAATTACAGCTTATAGTTGAGAGCCCCTATAATTCCTGCCGAGCACTTGAAGTTCAAATTTTCTTCCTCTGTTGTTTGCTCCATGACTTCCTAACATGGCAATGCAGCAAAACCTGATACTGGCAGTACTTCCTTCTTGGATCCTTCGTTATCAAGGCCCAACATCTCATTAGCCTATCAGGTTGGTTTCTTCCCTTTGGTGATTAACGTGTTTTTTCCTTTTACTCTAAAGAAATAATAAACAGCTCCTTACCTGCACTTCTTATGGAAAAGCTTTTCTTAAATACCAGCTTGCTGTATGTGAAGTGTGTGTATTTTTGAACCTGAGAGTTAATCATCGCCCAATTATCATCTTAGGCATTACTTGAGAACTTTGTTTTTCTTGTTTTCTGTGCACCTGATACATCACGAAGAACAGGTTTCTGTAGGGGAATCAAGGAGGCAGTTGCCATCTATTTATCAGGATAATTAAAAACTGTATCCAAATGGAATCAGGCAATGAATACAAAACAGGCAGATGCTAAATAGATTTAGAAAATAAACTTGGATCTTTGGATTTCTTGAGGTATGCAGTCTCAGGATGAGAAGACACTCTAAAGGTCATCTCATTCCTCTGTGAAATACTTTGTCCCTCGGTCACTCTATGCTTAAAAATGCTGATGATAGGAGCCTTACTATTGATAAAGGCAACCCATTCCATTTTTTAAGTGCTTCTGACTCCTAAATTGTTTTTGTTATATTTTGTTATGTTTCTTATACATATGTGTGTACATATATGTATACATATATGAAGTATATATACATTCACAGCCAAATTGAGCAGAAAGTACAAAGAGTTTCCATATATTTCCTGTTCCTCCTCTCCCCAAGGCTTTCCTACCATCAACATCCCCCACTAGAGTGGTGCGTTTATCACAATTGATGAACCCGCATTGACTTATAATTACCATGTATAGTCTGTAGTTGACATTAGGATTCCATTTTGGTGTTTCACATTCTATGGGTTTTGACAAAGGCATGATGCCATGTATCCACTAGGATAGCATCATAAAGAATAGTTTCGATGCTTTAAAAAATCTCTAAGCTCTGCTTATTTATCTCTCTATCGCCTCCCCAGCCTCTGGCAACTGCTGATCCTTTCACT